AGATCACCTACTCCATTCCAGAGGAAAAGTCCAAAGGATCTTTGGTGGGAAATATTGCGCAGGATTTAGGTTTGGATATTAAACGTTTTGTCTCGGGTAAAGCACGAGTCTACACGAGGAGCAGCGAGGAGTACGTGGAGCTGAGCAGAGACAGAGGAGTCCTCCTCGTTAAAGAAAGGATGGACAGGGAGGCGCTCTGCACCGAGACGGAGCTTTGTGCTTTAGATTTTCAGATTATTTTAGAAAATCCGATGGAGTTTTACACCGTTACTGTCCAGATTACAGATATTAATGACAATGCACCGACATTTGAAAAAGGAGAGATGACTTTTAAAATTAGTGAATCGGCAATAGCAGGAGCAAAATTTGTATTACAAATGGCTGTGGATCATGATGCTGGAAGGAACGGCGTCCAGAAATATGAATTAAATCCTACTGATAATTTTGCTTTGAAGCTGCAGAGTAACGCTGATGGTCATAAACATGTGGAGATGGTGTTACAGAAGGCTTTAGACAGAGAGAAGCAGGAGCAGATCCATCTGGTGTTAACAGCTGTAGATGGAGGAGAGCCGCAGATGTCAGGAACGATGCAGATTGTTATTACAGTCTTAGACGTGAATGATAATGCTCCTGTTTTTACACAGAAACAATACAAAGCTACAGTTACTGAAAATTCACCTAAAGGAACAGTTGTTGCTACAGTTACAGCTTCAGATGCAGATGAAGGATCAAACAGCAAGATAAGATATTCGATCACAAATACACAAAGTAATATAAAAAATATATTTGGAATAAATATGGAAAATGGTGAAGTTTTTCTGATAGGAAATATTGATTTTGAAAAGAATAAACATTTTCAAATCCAAATAGGTGCAAGTGATGATGGAGGACTGACAGATTCGTGCAAATTAATTGTTGAAGTGCAAGACATTAATGATAACAAGCCTGAAATTAATATTATGTCAAAATCCAACGTGATATCAGAGGACGCTGAACAGATGACGGTTGTCACAATGATAAACATTGAAGACTTAGACTCGAATGAAAATGGAAACGTACAATGTTTTGTTAATGAAAATGTTCCATTTATTTTAAAGTCATCTAGAAATAATTTCTATAGTTTAGTGACAGACAGTGAGTTAGACCGAGAGA